TTTCAGATATAGGCAAAAGCATTTTCTTTCCTAAGTAGTTCCTCTAAATTTAGAATATATAAATACAAAATGATAAAAATCTCTCAACTTTTTTATTGGGAGGATAGATTTATTTAGATATATTTTTGAGTTATCAACTATAGAACCTACATATCTCTCTTCTATAAATATGTTTCGATATAAAGAAAACATATGAAATGCTCTAATTTAGAAATTCAAAATAAAATTCTAAACTAACTGGCCTTGTAAGAATATGTAAAATGAAGATATCGATGCTGCTAAGGCTTTGTGTAACTAGGATTCATTTAAAAAGTCTATTCAGGGTTGTCTTTTCAGATTGTCAGATTAAACAAACCTAAGAGCATTTGCAGCAAACCCATAATTACAGATTATTATGGCATACAAAAGCAACAAGACATAAAAAGCTGCTGCAATTCACTGCACTCTAATAGAACATGCAGAGGAAGTTAATTTTGGCAAATGCTTTAAATATTAGCTTTGCATAATATGTATAGGTGAAACTATAATTAGGACAGAATGAATTCTTTGGAGCCTCCTTTCACTCCGACTCTGCAAATGATGACTTTTTGCTAATAAGACTACTGCCATTTGACAAAAAGCCAACTTCACTACCTCTCTTTATTCTTTAGTAAATTTAATAATTACAGATACTCCTGCCAATAGTTCTGAAATCAGACTTGTTCAATCCAATACTGAGCTTATTAGGGACACTCTATGTTTAGAAATCTTTGGCTAAAAAAGTACTTGAAGATGATGAAGCATGCCTTAGACAAGGGCACAATGATTAGTCATTTTCTCCACATTAAAAAACCCAAAATGTAGTCACCACAGATCACAGAATCACCTGCTGTTACTTCACAGCTGTTCCTAAAAGCTTCTGCATTTATCTGGTCCTTAATATCTTTAAGAAAGTCCAAAGGGAATAACTGAATACATTTAGAGAATAGTACTCCATAGAGTATCTGGTAGCAATATAAAGCTCATCTACTTAAATTTATACCTTTCTGTCTTTAAAGTGACTGTTAAGAGTACAGTAAATTTGGGTTGAAATACAATAAAACTTGTCTTTACATAGTAAACCATTTATTTCACTATTTAAGAAATATACTACACTGCCCTTAATCAAACTTTTATCATTTTATACCTTTAAAAATGCAAAACCTGTGCCCATCAATAGACAAGTGGATAAAAAAGCTGTAAGATATCCTATCCTATATAATAAAAGGCTAACATGCAAATTGACTGAACGACAGAACAACTGGTCACTATGATGCGCACTGACCACCAGGGGGAATATGCTCAACACAGGAGCTGCCCCTGGTGGTCAGTGCACTCCCACAGGGGGAGCTCTGCTCAGCCAGAAGCTGGGCTCCTGAATGGCTTAGGCCCACTCCCTATGCACAGCCCCAGAGGGCTCCTGGACCATGAGAGGACACAGGCCAGTCTGAGGAACCCCTTACCCCAAGAACACGAATTTTGTTCACCAGGCCTCTAGTACATATAATAAAAGGCTAATAAGCAAAGCAACCAAATGGCAGAACAACCAGTCGCTATGACACGCACTGACCACCAGGGGGCAGATGCTCAATTCAGGAGCTTCCCGCTGGTGGTCAGTGTGCTCCCACAGCCAGAAGCTCCTGCCTCAGAGGCAGTACTAAGCATGTCCTACTGATGGCTTAGTGCACAAATTTCATGCACTGGGCCGTGTGTGTGTGTGTGTGTGTGTGTGTGTGTATGTGTGTGTGTGTTTAGAAATCTTTGGCTAAAAAAGCACGCACACACAGTCATAAAAAAAGAATAAAATCTTACAATTTCTGACAGAACAGATGGACCTATAGAGTATTATGCTAAGTGAAATATGTCAGAGAAACAAGTACCATATCTATTAGTATAGTCAGAGAAACAAATACCATGTGATTTCACTTATATGAGGACTCTAAAGAACAAAATAAACAAAGAAACAGAAACAGATTCACAGACAACATGAAACAAATTTATAGTTGCCAGAGTGGAGGGGGTTGGGGGACTGGGTAAAAAAGGTGAAGACATTAGGAAGTACAAACCAGTGGTTATAAAATAGTTATGGGGATATAAAGTACAGCATAGGAAATATAGTCAATAATATTATAATACCTAAGAATGGTGCTAGGTGGGTACTTGAAATACTGGGGGGGAAGGGGTCCACTCTGTAAATTAAAATTTTCTAACCACCATATGCTATATATCTGAAACTAATATAAAATAATAGTGAATGTCAGTTTTATTGGAAAATACATTTTTAATGCAAAAGGCAACTAACTTTTTCATATAACTTTGTTTTTAGATAAAATACTCTATTTTACTATGCCAAATCTATAAAAATAATTATAAGTTGAGATATTAATTATTTTCTAAATATTTTGTACTGTCCAATATACCTCTATTATATCTGAACAATTTCATTTGTATATTATGTGGTAGGCAAATTATTACCAACCTGTGATCAACTCAAAATACTATCATGATCACATCCTAGATATTTTAATAATTTGTAACTATTCTGCATTTATATCTCAAGCTCTTCTTTAATAGCTTACTCCTTGACCACAACCTCCTAGTCTAGTGATTTCCCAATTTGTTTTGTAGAGTCCTTGGAGATGGATAAGACAGAAGTCAGTAGAATCCCAGCCACTTTCCTGCTGCAGCTCTAGTTTAAAGAGTTTTACAAACTGGGCTTCCTTGTGAAATTTATTTGAAGAGGTTTCACTGCTTAAAAACTCATTTTAAAAACCACTGTCCGAACATACTGATTCCCTCTTCAACTTTGGCTGCATATTTATCACCAGATTGCTTTAATATATTTAATATATTTTTAAATAATATATTTAATAAATTGTTTTAATATATTAAAGCCTTTATTGACAGGATGAGAGCATCAGTATCCTAATATGAAGCCAAGGCTGAGAATCATTGTTCTAACTTCTTATTACTAACCACATTTACTTTCTGACTCACTGGATCACTCCATTTTCTTCCAATTTATTAGCCATTTCCTACCATCAGGTAAAACCTTACCAAGCTTAGATTCATGGTTACACCATATACCAATATTCTGAAAGTCATAGTTTGTGTTTCTGCCATATTCACCTTACTGGTTGGTGCAAACAAAACTTTGTAGTTTTTATTTTCTTTCAGGCCCTCAAAAGCTTCTCTCAGTCCCCTTAGTTTACTTCCATCTTATTTTTCCGGTCTCAAAAGAAGGGCTAATATTAGCACCTATACTCTCCAGTTCACCTGTCAGGAACTTCACTCTACTAATGCTGATCACCTTCCTATTTTCCGTCTCGGCTTTTTCAACTTATAATTAATTTCAACTCTTTTAATCCTTAAAAAATCCCTTAACCCCAAATCATCCTTTAGCTTACCTACTGTTTTATCACTTTTCTTTTCTTTCTTTCTTTTTTTTTTTTTTTTAAATAGTCAAGCTTCTTTAAAGAGTAGTTTTGACAGATGCTCTATAGTACTTCCTTAACTCCTTTTTGTTCCTCAACCCATAGACATCCGCTTCTGCCTCCTACTTCTCTGCTGAAACTAAAGCAGACATACTTGTCAGTGTTTTATACTTGACCTCTCTATCATTTAATAGTGCTGGCCAATCTTTTGAAAATCTTTCTCTTCTCTTTGTTTCTGAAAAATTACTCTCTCCTGTTTTTTCCTTCCTTTCCAACTTTTTCTCCTCAGAACACACACACACACACACACACACACACACACTATATATATATATATATATATATATATATATATATATATATATATATATATATATATATATCTAACAGAGACCTCTCCGCTAAGATCTAGACCTATATATACAACAAACCGTCTACTATATATCTTAACGCAAATATCCAACAAGCATCCCTCCAATTAAGCCTTCCTCTTTACCCCTTCCAAGCCTCTGAACTCTCTCATGTTTTTGGTCTACCCTGGGGAAAGTCTATCTAATTTAAGCCTTTTACAACTCTTGCTTGGACTATTGCAACAGCCTCAAATTTGTTTCTCTACTCCTGAGTTAACCTCCCTAAAATCAGTCTAACATACGAGAGCATCAAACTTCTCTGTAAGGAAGGGGCCAGACAAAATATTTTCTGCTTTATGGCCATACAATCTCTGTTGCAACTACTCAACACTACTGTTTTTGCACAAAAGTAGCCATAATGATACATAAATGAACCACATGGAGATGTCCCAATAAAACCTTATTTATAGAAACAGGCGGCCATAATTTGCCAACTCCTGTAAAATATTGTCAAAGCGCTCTTAATATTAACTTTATCACGTATATTATCTCTTTAACTCCTTCAATAAACTGGGTTCCTCTGAGCTACCACTGTATCCTGAATGCACTTTTATTTTTATACTCATAAGGTTATTTGTTCACATCTTTGCCTTACCCTTATATCAAATAGTAAACTCTGAATGTAGAAGCAATGTGGCTTTAAAAATACCTTACTGAGTTCACTATGGACCAAGAACCGTGCAAAAAGTTTTATACATATTATTTTACTTAGTACTCAAAACGACCTTATGAGGGAATAAATATTATCCCCACTTTATAAATAAGAATACAGTCATAGTTACTTAGCTATTTAATGAGAGTCAAAATTCAACAGCATGCCTGTCAGACTCCAAAGCTAAATCTCTTATTTAATTATAGAAATCCTATGACATAGAAAGTAAAATATCAAAAAGAACTCATCAGAATAACTTAGCTAGAAGTATAAAGGGAATGTCATCACATGTAATATTAGCAATTGTGTATATAAAGTTATTTCTTAAACTGAAAATAAAATTTGCAGTAATATACATTGTGAGGTAAACAACTACAAAGTAAAACATGTATTATCCATCCTCACCCATCATTTCTACCCAAGGCCTCAAATCATGCCTTGAGAGAACCCAAATAACAACACTGTCCTGAAGAAAATCCGTTTTACCTTCTGTTACTGGCTGGAGTTTAGAAGACCGTTCTGAATCAGGAGAGTGCAGAGGTTCAGGTTCTTTCAGACTTTCCAAATGCAGAAAGGGATCATACTCTACAGAGGCCAGGTCTGATAGGCTTATTGGAAAATACTTTGGATTGCTAAAACATTGAGCTCCATAAACACATCCATGTAATACCTGAAAATGCAGGGGGAAACATACAAGTTTTCCTTTTCAGTAAAAAGAAATAAAGTAAAAAGAGAAAAAAAAGTCCACTGATAATGCAAAAGCTTAACAAAATTTTAAATAATTTAAAACTTAGCTCTTTGGTCATGGTAAAATTTAATACCTCTTAAGAAGAAGTAAAATTTAACTAGTGATGCTTATATTCAACAAAGATTTGACTCTTCAAAATCTGGCAATAAAACAATCGTGTACTATAGAAACTACTTTTTAGTTATCAAGATACTGTAAGATAAATTTATGTTCTTATAAAAATACCTAGTCTAAATGAAAACACTAAGAAATGTTATTTCTTTAGGTTTTATAAACCCTTGGTTACCAAGTAAGTAATAAAGCAAAGAAGTTTACCTTATAAATGCAATTGAGGACTGACTTTTCTATTTTATCATTTTCTGCTCCTGTAGTATGGACTGGTTGGAGCAGTGTCTTTAGGGGCAAGGCCATGATCCAGTCCAGAAGGCACAGAAGTAAAGATACCACCAACTGTAACAACAAAAAGACCATTATTATTGTCAACTCATAAAGTAAGAGTTTAATACTTAACAGAATTTCACCAACTAATATTTTGATTAATCCTCACCAGGATATTTCCCCCCATTAATTTTTACAGAGAATAAAAAGGATCGATGGGGGAGGGGTGGTGCGGATTGTGCAGTGCTGAGGAAAAGAGAGGGAGGGAGGAAGGAACATTGATGTGAGAGAGACCCACCGATTAGTTGCCTCCTGCATGTGCCAATTAGGACTAGAGATTGAACCTGCAACCCCAGTCCATGCCCTTGACTGGAATCAAACCCAGGACCCTTCAGTCTGCAAGCAGATGGTCAAACCCATTGAGTGCCACCGGCCAGGGTCACCAACTTATTTTTTGTTTTCCAAATTTACTTCAGAAACTATCAATCCCAAATTGCAACATTAATATTTATCTAAACCTAACATTTAATATGTTTTTATTGTGGGTTTCAGTGCAAGCACAAAGAAAGATAATAAAATAATGAAAACAGAAATGTTAAATTTCTTTAATTGAAACACACACTAAGTTTAAAAAACAACAGGCTTCAATTAGCTATTCTTATTTAACTGCTTAAGGAATGAAATACAAATGAAAAGTTTTAGTCCATACATTTTTCAATCACTTCCTCATTCCTCTTCTAATTTAATACCTCACTGAATACGCTGCCAGAAAGACTAGATTATCTTCACCCTATTCTGAAACTGTTACTAATTTTTTAAAATAAATGTTTCCACTGGATACTTTTAAACTAATGGATGTTATAACCAAAACACCTTTATCAAAACGTGGAGTAAAATAGCAGCACCACTGTGGCCCATTTTATTGTATAAGGAATCACAATAAAAGCGTTAATCAAGTGATCTGTTGGCTTTTAGACGGAAAGATTAATTTTCTAACTCAAGGAGTAATGCTGGTCTAAATCTCCCAACATAGCCTCCAAAATAACAAAAAGAACCAAAAAGACATCACAAAACCAGTAAGACATCACAAATCCTAGGTTTAACCAGATAACAGAACATCCAAATTTCAAATTATGTGTAAGTAGAAAGTGCTTTTCCCCATTCTCCTAGTGTAAGCTTTGATGAAGAGCAAGGCAGTTTGGGGAAAACTGCAAGAGAGAAGGGACCTACGTACAAACCTCAAAACCCCTCAGAAAGGAAAAGACCACCCTTAGTGTGAGTACTGTGGTACTGACCACCACCTGTTAATATCAAACAGTAGAGTAAAGGTAACGAAGAGCACTAAAAGAATTACAGTGCCAAAATATAATTCCTGATGGATTTAAAGGCCATAGAGAAAACAGAATAGCACTGTTAAACTTAATTAACTGAGAACTAGAACTGTGGACTAGAACTAGGAATACTGTTAGAGAAGAATTTGGAAAGATAATGTCTGAAGTAAAAGGGAAAGAAAAATAGAGATGCATGACAGAAAAACACAAAAAAAAAGGTAGGTGAGATAAAAGGTGACAAAAATAGGGTTAGAATCCCGAATGCAATTTTTCATTGACTATCGCGTAGTGATAAAAAGAACTATTACAATAGTCAGTGTAAGGAGACAGAAGAGAACCAACTAACCAACCAACCAAACAAACAAACAAAAGACAACAAATAACAAAAAATAATTAAAGAGAAAGAAAAAATAAGAGATCTCTACCAGAAGATTCAAGAAATAAAAGGGAAATTCAAACCCAGATTAGGAATACTGAACAACAAACAAGAAACTATATTATCTGACCATAAGAAAGATGATTCCTATGAGGAAGAACCTGGAGTTCTAAAACTGAAGTGAAAGCCACCCTAAAAGTATTGGGAATAAATAGATTACCAGGGATATGTGGAATACCTGTAGAATTACTTTAAACCACAGAGACCATATCTGTCAAAATTCTAACAAGAACATGTCAACAAATATGGAAAACAAAACAATGGCTTATAGACTGGAAACATTCAATATATATTTCAATTTTCAAGAAAGGAGATAGTAAGGAGCATAGTAAAGTTAGTTATGTTTTATAGACTTCAGTGAAGCCTCTGATTGCATCGATCATGCTATGGGTGCTCGGAAAGAAATGGACGTGCCTTAGCATTTGATTGTTCTGATATATATAACCTACGTTGCGCATAGGGAGCCCTGGAGACAATGGTTTCTTATAGGCAAAGGTGTCCTACAAGAGTGCATTTTATCTCTGTTTAATTTGCGCGCAGAACATATATGAAAAACTGGGGTAGGTTCAGAGAAAGGACTAAAAATTGGTGAAAAAAATCAACAACTTAAGACATGCAGGATAATACCATCTTACTGGCAGAAAGTAGCAATGATTTGAAACAACTTCTGATTAAAGTAAAAGAAGAAAGTGCTAAAGCATTCAAACATTAAGAAGGCAAAAATCATGACTATAGATAAAATACACAACTTTAACATTGATGAAAACAGTGAAATTGTTAAAGACTCTGCTTACCTTGGTTCAGGAATCAATTCAAATAGAGACTGCAACCAAGAAATCAAAAAAGTTTGGGATTTGGAAGGGAAGCAATGGAAGAATTAGAGAAGATCACTAAGAGCAAAGATGTACCATTAGAGACCAAAGATCACTTACATCCTCCTACACCCGATTACTACGTACAGATGTGAGAGTTGGAGTGAAAAAGGCTGTCCAAAAAATTGATTCATTTGGAATATAGTGTTGGAGGAGAGCTGCACAGATATGCTGGATTACAGAAAGACAAACCAGCGGGTTCTAGAGCAAATTAACCTGAAGCAGAAATGACAAAACTGAAGCTGTCCTATTCAGGGCACATCATGAGAAGTCAGGTTCTTTGGAAAATACAATAAAGCTGGGAAAAGCAGGAGGCGGCAGAAAAATAGGAAGGCCAAATATGAGATGGCTTGACTTCATAAAAGAAGCCATAGGAATGAGCCTACAGGAGCTGCACAGGTCTGCTGAGGAGAAGACATTGAAGACATCATTTATCCATAGGGTGGCCAGGAGTCAGAGCCAACTCAACAAACACGTACTATACACATTAGTGTGAGAATACAAAAAAAAAGTGTACTATTATAGTAGAATACTGAATAGAAAGAAGTTAAAAGTATAAACAGGAAAGGTAACGTTATTTTATGTTAATGTTAAGAGGGAGAGAAATGCTTTGGAAAACATAGTAAAAAGAGAAATTTAGGATCCTGTATGTCTTAATTTTTTTAATTTTAATTTTGGACCTACACTACTTCTCCTATTTAAAAGGCATCATCCAATTAAGACATTATTCTTTGTTAAATTTCCGAAAAAGAAAGTACTAGAAGTAGTAATCATGTAAACCACCCCAAGTGACCAAACTTATCCACAAATATGCAGAGGTAGTATTCAAACTACTACAAAAAGAAAACAAAAGAATCTAAGCAATTCAGCTGATGCACCCTTCCCAATAATCCAATTATGAATAAAAGAAAATTGTAACACAACATCCTAATTTAAATATTTCCAAATAGGCATTTAGATATAGGGGACAAAGAAAACCCCATCTTCAATCAGAAAACTAAAAAACTAAACAGAAATAGATCAAGGAAAGAATGAACTCAAGTCAGGAAAAGAAAAAAAAAATATCATATTAGAAATGATGCCTCAATTATAAAATGCCTAAGAAAGAATAAATTTTAAAAATAAAAAACAAAATTAAATAAGGGACATTGAACAGTAGGAAAACAAGAGAATAAAAATGAGATAAAAAAGTAAAAAGTATCAGAGAAAATGACTAAAATGGAAGAAAGAAAAAGAATATCAATTTACATATAAAAAGTCCCTAAAATCTACATATATAAAAGGCCCACCAGATGCTAGGACAAACTGATCTCCAATAATAAATTCTTAATACAAATCCTGCTAAAATTTCAAAATTTAAGACTTCAAAAATAAATTAAAAAAGATCCTTAAGGCTTCCAGGAAAAAAGATAAAATAATTTAAAACTGGCATCAGACAGACTTCTCAAAACAGCCCAGGTGGACTCGGTCCCTGGTTGGGATGCATATGGAAGGCAACTGATTGATGTTCCTCTCTGACACTGATGTGTTCTCTGTCTCTCTTTCTCTCCCCCCTTTGCTGTCTCTCTAAACAATCAATGAATATATCCTCAAGTGAGAATAAATACACACACGTGTATACACACACACACACACACACACACACACACACACCACACACACCAAAACATTAAAAAAAAGATAATAAAACAATCTCAAGACAAGCAAGGACTTCACAGCTAAATAAGCTGTTTTCAAGTATCAGGGATATAGAAAAAGTTTTAAATATGCAAGAGCTTGGGGACTTCTGTATTCATGAGTCCATCTTGAAGAATAAAGATGAACTTCATCCAACCAAGAAGTTGACTGAGGATGTTCAGCAAAAAGATTAATGGTGAGTATTTGCTACATGTAATTATACTGGGGTGGGCAAAAGTAAGTGTACAGTTGCATTGTGACATTCTTTTGAGTTAATAAAGCTATAGTAATAATCATAATCTGCCTGCCTTTTCATACCAACAATTGTAAACCTACTTTTACCAACTCCTATAGAGCTAAGATTAATATTTAAAAGTGAAGGTGAGTGTGGATGAGTCATTTGTTAAATGTCATATGCTGTATGTTATGTGTAGAAATAAAGTAACTAAGAATGGAGGTGAAGAGAGAGCAGGAGAAAAGTAAAATAAGATCATTTATTAACATACAAGCAATAGATGGGAGATAAAGAATATCATTCAACAATCACTAGCCAGATAGTAGGAGACTAAGTAAGAAAGCGAGGGGAAAAGCCATCCAAATTGGAAAAAAAGTAAAACTGTTTATATGCACAGATGACATGATATTATACATAGGAAACCCTAAAGACTCCATGAAAAAACTAGATTTAATATATGAATTCTGCAATGTAGTATGATACAAAATGAATACCCAGAAATCTATGGCTTTTTTACACAC